ACGCGTACACATTTGGTGCCGTGTATAATAAAATAATAACCAAAATTAGTAGCAACGTAATTTCATTTTCCACGAAAGTCTGACTCAACTTCAGGGATTGACTCTCAGGAGAGTGTGCGGGGATATTTGAGCATTGCTGAGAGTTTGGCTTTTGTGTGGGAGGAAAACCAGAGAGTCCGTGTACTGGTGATTACAACTCCAATGTCTAAACGACCAAGTGCACGAGCCCACTTGCTGTACTGCTATCCCCTGGCCACATTGCAGCCCAGGGGGGAGTTTTGATGCCCAAATCGACGTGACCCAATAAGCCTTTCCTCGAAATTGCTGAATCACAGGCATGCACCACCACTTCTGGCTTGAGCTGCTCTCGTTCTATATTGCTTCGTACGTGTCGAACACTGCCGGTGGCATTCCATTGTGCCATGGCTCAGCGTTACCAATTTCCCCAACCCTGTGCCAAATTTCGATGAATATCGGAAGCTGAGCAGGGTTGAACTTGCTTGGTTCGTCAGCTGTGTGTGACCGCCGGGGCCTCCCCGGTGATTGAAGAGTGGGAACTACCAGGAGTGGCCCGGAGATGGCAGTGCTGAGTGCCACCACCGACTCCGATGGATGGTGGGGGTTTTCGCATCCGGGTTGTCCCAGTTTCCTCCCGCACAAAGTGACTTCACTCATGGAATTGGCCAAAGATGCTAATACGGCCATCGCAGGAACATCCTGAAATTGAGAGCAAGTGAGGCCCTAATGGGTAAAGAACTTTGCACGCCGTGCAGGTCGTGGCAGTGATACGACGATATTTCACCATGGTTCTCAGGGCGAGTTGAAGGTGGGGAGCATAGACATGAGAGCTGCACTGCCCTCTCATACCTGCTGTGCATGGGATGGTTACCCATCAAAGCACTAACCCGATTTAACCCTGGTATGACACCGGGTGCATTTCTGATTATTTGGACAATGGCTGACTCTACTATGCTGGAATTTGTACCGCATTTCCGTTCTGACCCGTCGAGAACGTGATTATAATTTACACAAGTCACAATCGCCGAAATGCTGTTCTTAGTTTTGGCTGGAAGGAGTTCGGAATGCTGTTCCGGGAATGAATGTTGGTATGACACACCCATCTCGCCTCATTTTGTCCTCAATGCACCTTATATTCCCATCAACCTGTCCATCGGATTATAGAAATATGGGGTAAAATAATAAAGTGATTATTATGGATAGGCGTACCTTGTACCCTTGTGGTAGGGAGTGCCATGCCAATAATCCCTACTCTAAGCCAGCCGAGCAGTGTTCTGGAAAACACACCGAGTGAGAAATGAAGCCCAGTCTATATGTATTTTGTACCGTATGTAGACACATTAAATAACCAGAATAACAGAGTAGAATTTGTCTCACATTGGCAAGAATCGGTGTCTGGTGGGAGCGGTCCCATGGGCAAGGAGAGAGGGCAGACTTTGGAGCGGGAGCTGGAACATGCCCGCCACAAAAATAAACTCACAGGAACGCAAGCGGCTCACGCACACACACACGCACACACGTGGGGCACTGTGTGTGTGTGCGTGCCTACGGCCAAATCACCCAGCAGGAATGAAGCTGAAGCTAAGGATTTTTTGAGACTGGTTGGTTCTTGGGGTTGGGTGACCTCCGGCAAGCAGGGCTTGCCACGCATTGTAGGCGAAGAGGGCTGTGAGGTGGGGGGGCAAGTGAGTGTCACCCTCCTCGTATGCGTGGTGGGGGGGGGGGTCTTCTCCTGGTGTTCGGGTTTCCTCGCCCACTAAGTCAGGCATTGGCCAAAACATGCCAATGCAAAGCCCTCCGATAAAAAAGTCTTGAGACTCAGGGCTTTCATAAGTAAACAATTACCATTATTTGTGTGCAAATGAAAAGTCATTTCTGTATATATATCAACATTCTGAGTGACTTCCTGCTCCAATAACCCATTGCGTCAGTGCTCATCTCCCCTGGGAAATTCCACGTTCTTATGGCAGGGGCGAGTCTATCCATAGGACAACCACTATTGCCTTCCCCACAAGTGTCACTTCTCCATTTTCCTCCTTTCCAGTTGCATTCGCCATGGTTTGCTGTCAGTTGAAAATCGCATTTGTGAACACGAAACCATCCTGTACTGTGTACAGCCGTTTGCTAATCCACTGCTGGATGAGGGCCTATCCTGCGGGTCCCGTACGCGTGATTCGATCATACTTCACCACTTCGCCACGCTGGGCAGTTTGAGTTGGCGAAGGTAGAGGACATAGACGTGGCAGCAGAGTATAGTGCGGTGGTTCTTAACCTTGACTGCAGCCTTGCAACCCTTTGGCTCACAATCGTCAAAACGATTATAATGTTAATAAATACATTAGGGTTTGAAGAAACACATTAAGTTTAACTCACGTGCCCCCGTGCTTAATTGGTGTTTCGATGATTTACCTTCTTAACAAAAAATCTGGCCACGTCTCGCACCCCCAGAAAGGGCTTCTCGCACCCCCAGTTGGTGCATGCACCCCAGGTCTTGAAGAACCACTGGTATAGTGTAACAACGGAATGTTTATGATCTGGCCTCTGATGCTCCCAACGTATTCCCGCGGCAGCCTATAACAGCTGTTTCATCATGTTGTACGGTGGGCACACATCAAAGCACCATCGATGGTCAAAGCAGCTTTAGCTTCCGGCTGATTTGGTCACAGGCTCAGGTGCAATGATGCGAAACATTTACCCAGAGGCTCCTGCGTTGCGATATTTAACGACACGTGGGTAAAACCCCGTCGCGGTTGACACTCAGCACTTTCACATCCCCGGCTCATAACGCCTGGGAAGTCCTCGTGGTGGCCACCGATCCAAAGAGACGAACAACCTCAACTCTGCGCAGCGTGAGATATGCGACAAGTTCGGACACATTTGTCAGCGTAATTTGCTCGTAGGCAACAGACTTTGTGGGGAAAGTGCTGTGAGCGAGTAGCACCTATGAAGGGCCAGCACGGCACACGAGGGAGGGGGTGGTTAGCACCACGCCCCGTGTTTAAACATAGCACCAGGAACTTATTTTAGACTGAGTCGACCTAGGAGAGGCCCGGGACCGGTTCAGATAATCGTCACTGATGTTGGCCGTGAGCTGAAATCGAATTCAGGTCACCGTGTTCGCATACCTGTCAACCCATACGGTGTATCCGTATTCGTGTACAGGGGAATTGAGTTTTCAGGTCCATACGGTGTACAGCCGTTTCAATAATGGGCTCAACAAATACCTGTTTGTCTATGTGTTTGTGTTTCTCTCTTGTGATGGGACTTTGTTGGATGAACGTTGCGATTTATAAGGGCACGGGGTGACTAATAAGGTGTGAATTGGTCTGCAATCAAGTCGGACACTGATAAGGGGTTGACAGCTACGGTGTTCGTAGCGCAGCGCGCTAACCACTGCGCCTCCGCTCTCCCAGATACAGACACGATGCACGCGCACTCAAACACAACATCGCTTCGTCGGCTCGTGTGAGTGGCAGTGTTCCATCAAACTTAATTCCCCAGTAAAACTAGCTCCGTTGACATTACGCTTCACTTCTGCATTCATCTATTTTGTTTGAGCGTCTTAATAAACAACACAAATGTGCGCTGCTTTCAGTTCCGAAGACGTCTCAACGGACACGGTGTGAATTGGAACTCCACGCGTGTCTCATTTCGCGTGACTTTGAAGTCTCGAAGACTTTGCCCTGAGTGGTTGAGGGTTAGGCAATGATGAATCTCCCATCGTACAGTCGCTTCTTAAGGGTGTAGTCATGATATATATATTTTAAAGTGCCTACTCTAAACGAAAATAACAAAAACAAATAAACCACCCCTAGTGTTTTATAATGATATTTTTTTTTGTGCGAGTGCTGTTTTTGCGAGAACCTCTTAAAGGTTGCTATGGGGCACGAAGAGGAGATGGTGAACAGACCCACGCCTGGCCACTTATTGTCTTCTCCCGAGTGGGGATGTTCACACACACCACACCAGGTACTCATTTTAGGCTGAGTCGACCCAAGGGGAGGCTCGTGACCGGTTGAGATATCACTTGCAACTGGCGCCAGCCTTTAGTCCTGTGGCAAGCAATTGAACCCGATAGATCGCCGAGTTATAAGCGCAGTGGGCTGATCAATGCGCCACTCATCTCTATCCACTCCAAAGACAAAGATCCCCCGTATAGCTTTAACAGACTGTAGGGGCAAGTGCTGTTAGCGAGCACCTATGAAGGCCGGAACGGTACACACGAGGGGGTGGGTGGGACAGCACCACGCCCGACCGCCTTTGTCTCCCCAGTGGCGATGTTTACACTCCCGCACCATGTATTCATTTGAGGCTGAGTCGACCTAGGGGAGGCCCGGGACCGGTTCAGATAATCGTCACTGCGGTGTTGGCCGTGAGCGGGAATCGAACCCGGGTCGCCAGGTTCATAGCGCAGCGCGCTAACCGCTACACTACCGCCCCCCACAACAAACACACGTGGACTGACACATGCATCGCACAACTTTATAGACTTAAATTTCGATTTAAAGCTTTCGTGACTGCAGGGATCCATCTTCTTGGTTCTTTCGGTAAAGTCACGTAGAAGCAATAAAATAATAAAAATATTGCTTCCCTTCTACGTGACTTTACCGAAAGAACCAAGAAGAACTTTATAGACTGTTGGGTCCAAGTGCTGTTAGCGAACGCCTACCGATTGGGCCAACACACGCAATACGAGCTAATAGACTCACACACACACATACACACACACAAAGCTAAGATCCCACTCATAGACTGTTGGGAAACGCGCTTTAAGTGAGCACCTATATAAGGCTAACACAGCGAGAGAACCGACATCACGGCCTTATATAGACTCCAGGGGAGCGTGCTGTTAGGGAGCACCTATTAAGGCAAACAACACAAACTCACGTGGAAACACCGTCCGCTCATCTCGGGGCGGCCCCGAACCCCCTCCCCCCCTGTCCACCACAGTCCGCGTCCCACGCCGATCCACCCGTCCGTACCTTGGACACCACGAGAGGACTCTGCACCTCACGGCCCCCGCTGAGTCTGAATCCCCAGGGTGGCCCCCCACTCAGCCGAAGCAGCAACCGCTCCTCCATGCCCGTGCCAGCGGCGATCATCTCTCACGCTCGCCCCGACCACCACCACCAGCACCACCAGCAGCAGCAGCAGCAAACAGCAGCACCGGCACTCCTTGAACGTGTCCGTAGCGAATGAGTTCACCGCGTTCACGCCGCCAGCTCCAGCGCCCAAACCCTCACGCAGCACCACGTGGGCAAATTGGACTCGTACTGTCAATGGAACCAAGGGCTCCTTTATGATGGTGATGCTGCTGCTGCTGGTGATGATGCCACCGCAACGAGTCGAGGAGTCTCGATCATTCCCCTACACCTGCAGCAGCGCGAGTGAGTGAGTTCATGCGCCTATCCTTAGCCTCTCTGACCGCCGCGGGTATTCGGAGGGGTAGGGTTAGGGTGTTGCTCGGGGAAGGGGTGTGTGTGTGTGTCTTTGGCGGGGGTGGTGACTTGGTGGTGGTGGTAGTGGTGGTGGTGGTGCGGGGAAGGGATTGAAGTGGGTGTCGGCGCTTTGTGAGTTCTGGGAGTGACGCGCGCGGCGTGGGGAGAGAGAGGGCGGGTCGGGCGGAGCGGTGGGAACCCGGCTAGGATGAGGGTAGGGTGAGTGTCGGGGTTGGGTTGGGTTAGGGTGAGTGTAGGAGTTGGGTTGGGGTAGGAGTTGGGTTAGAATAGGGTTAGTGTCGGAGTTGGGTTGGGTTAGGGTAGGAGTTGGGGTAGGGTGAGTGTCGGGGTTGGGTTAGGGTAGGAGTTGGGTTGGGTTAGGGTAGGAGTTGGGTTAGAGTAGGGTTAGTGTCGGAGTTGGGTTAGGGTAGGGTTAGTGTCGGAGTTGGGGTAGGGTGAGTGTCGGAGTTGGGTTGGGTTAGGGTAGGAGTTGGGTTAGAATAGGGTTAGTGTCGGAGTTGGGTTAGGGGAGGGTTAGTTTCGGAGTTGGGTTGGGTTAGATTAGTGTAGGAGTTGGGTTAGGGTGAGTGTCGGAGTTGGGTTAGGGTAGGGTTAGTGTAGGAGTTGGGGTAGGGTTAGGGTTCGTGTCGGAGTTAGGGTAGTGTTAGTGTAGGAGTTGGGTTAGGGTAGGGTTAGTGTCGGAGTTGGGGTAGGGTTAGGGTAGTGTTAGTGTAGGAGTTAGGGTGGTGTTAGGGTTAGTGTCGGAGTTGGGGTAGGGTAGGGTTCGTGTCGGAGTTGGGTTAGAGTAGGGTTAGTGTCAGAGTTGGGGTTCGGGTAGGGTTAGTGTAGGAATTGGGTTGGGTTAGGTTGGGTCACTGCAATTCAGCAATTCTGTGCTGTCAAGATGCTCAGCACAAACGCGCGGCCTCTCCCTTCCTCCTCCTCCCTCCCCTCTACTGTCCCCTCTCTCACGAGCGCCTGTTTCTGCGTCTCTTCTTTGCGTCTCTGGATTTTTTTTAATCGATCATAGCCGATGGTCAAAATAATTAAATAGTGGCAGCCAAAGGATGGAACGCCGTCCGGTGTTGGGCAACCCCTGTGGAGACGGAGCGATGAAATCGGCTCGTGCGCGGGATGGTTGCTATAATTCTTGTTGCATCGCAGAATCGTCAAACGACAGCTTGGGAGTGGGGGGGGGCTTCATCCAGCAGTGGATTGATCATGGCTGACGATGACAAACGAAAAAATATAAACATCCAGTGACGTTGGCTCGTGCGGATGTCTCGTGAGAACCACGGCAAAACGCGTGGGTGCCGCCGGTATCTCCCCCGCAGGTCGACGCCCCCCCCCACCCCCCCACTGATGCGATCGTAACTGGTGGGGAGCCGTGCGGGCTAAAGGCAGCAGCGCCGCTGTGCCCGCTTAAGTCGTCAGCCACGAGCGCTCGCCGCGCAAGGCCACGACACCGAAAGCGAATAAGAAGGAGTGAAGTCTTCTTGGTTCTTTCGGTAAAGTGACGTAAAATGGAAATAATAAAATAATAAAAATAAAAATATTAAAATAACTCTCACGACGTTTCGGCCACAACGCAAGCAGCCGTCCTCAGGTGGAGAGCAGGTCTGTCGAGTAGACCTGCTCTCCACCTGAGGACGGCTGCTTGCCGAAAGAACCAAGAAGATGAATCCCTGCAGTCACGAAAGCTTTAAATCGAAATTAGGAGTGAAGTCGTAGGAGCAGGGCGGCTCGCTACGGGGGGGGGGGGGGGGGCGCTGTCGGGTTCTTGCGGGAACGCTCCTCCGAATCGCCAGGGGTAGGGGCACCCACAGCTCGCCACCTCATCGACCATACGGGCCTCTCGGAGCCACGCATCCACAACAGCGACTTCACTTCATACGACCCATGGCTACATGTGTGTGTGTGTGTGGGGTCGGGGGGGCTTCAGCTTAGTATCGAATCGTTTTTTTAATAATCTAAATTGGTTGGCTATATACGGTGCGATTTTAAGCACCCACTTCTCCATGCCTCTTGGCGCATGGTATCCATAAGCTCTCACCTTACCGCCCTCGATCTTTCCAGCCGTTTTAGTTGATGCATACAAGCTGTGGACCGGTTTCGACGTCGCTGGGTATCATCAGCAGGGTGTTTGTTCTGTGCACTGTGACGTTGCGAATATATATATTTTGTAATTTCTCGATGCATCGAGTTGGGTTTGGTTTGGGGAAGCCGAAGCAATGGCAGCAACATTCACGAGACTTTGAGCAGTTCAGAAGAATACTCCGGGAAAACTTGATAACTCGACGAAATCACGTTGTCCCGGGGAGCCGGCTGTTGTTGGGAGCAGTCGGATTAAGTGGCCCACAAACGTGAATTGTCAAGGTCACCGTTCGGGGAGATGATCATAATAAAAACAACTTTCAAGAGTGGCTCGTAAAGTGTTCCAATGAAGCTAACATGGGTCATCTTAAATCAAAACCCACACTTGGCTTGTCAAAAATTTCAAGGTCCCCCCCCCCGACGTCCCCCCACCCCCCACTCCTTAATTGCGCTCACCAGACTCATAAACACAGACGACGCAGCAGGGGTCTCCCTGCCCAGATTCGTCGTCGCTGGCGACGATATGGAGGTTCTGCACAATGGCCAAACAAGGAAGGGCTCGGACCAAAAATAATAATCCATTCCCGGAGCTTCGCTTTTGTTGTTTTTTTTATAAACAAACTCAACATGGGTCTTCAAGTGAAACACGTGGGCCGCATTGGACGGTTTGTAATAAGGGGGCATTTAGTATGATGTTTGTGTGTGCAGTGTGGAACAGTGGCATAAGCGGTTCGCGGACTGTGCTTCGAACCCCCGCGACCGTGGTTCGATTCCCAGCCACGACTAACATACATCAGTAGTGAGTGGTACATCCGAAACCGGTCCTGGGAGTCGTGGACCTCCCATAGATCGACTCGGCCTTAAAAAGGAATGCCTGGTTTGCTGTGTACGCATCAGAAATGGAGAGTCAAAGGCGGCCAGGCGTGGTGCTAACCAGACCGCCGCTTCTTGCACGGGTCTGCCCTTAACACGTGCTCGCTAACAACACTTGCCCCAACAGTCTATAATTCTGTACGGGTTTTTTGTGGTTGTCTTGGTGTGTATGTAAGAAGTTATTTGAATCTGTCCAGCGTTTGCCTGACGTGAATGTCGCCTTTACAGTAAAAAACCTGGTGCCACTCCGCCGACTCGTGCACGCAAATAGGTGTTCGCTAACAACACGTGCTCAATCTGTATACGAAATCATGCATCTGATCTTCGTCTGCTGTTGAGTGAGGGTGAGTTCACAAACATGGGAGCTGTAGCGTACAGGCCGGTGTGGTGATTGCGCTGCTGCTCCACGACCTTAGGCCTTCGGGGACGACCCCTGACCCTCGGTGCACAAATCACCAGTCCCACGTGTTGTTCGCGAAACCTTGCTGAACCTGGCCTTCTAGGTCGACTCAAACCGTAAAAAATAAAACAAATTGCTTCATCCGTCAACAACAACAATCGGGGTTCCAGCGGTCAACATCAATCACGGCGAAGACAAAGGAGATACAAAAGCGGCCGACGTTATGGCAGCGCACTGGCTTTATCTGCACCCGTGCTTTACTCGCTAACGGCATTGCCCTCTCGATGCGACGCTTACACTGATATCGCCCAGAGCTGAAAATAGCCACGAGCGCTTGGTAACAGCAGCCAGAGCTGGTCCTGTTGCAAAGGCAGCGATGTCCCTCTGTCTATTTCGGTGGCACAGTAGGAGGCCGCAGTGGGCACTGCCCCACACGAACCTGGGATCGATTGCGGTGCGCGGCTTCAGGGGTCGGCGGCGGGAGGTTATCGACGACTCGTCCTCGGTCCTCCCCGAAGGACGACTCGGTCTTCAATCGAACAGCCGGGGAAGTCTGTAAACATCGGCAGCATTGGGAATACAAAGGCGGCCGGGCGTGTTTGGCGCCGGGGCCCCTCGTGTGCCGGCGTCGGGGCTTAATAGGTGCTCGCGAACAGCACTTTTGACGACAGTCTACATCGTTGCATAGGGATGTCTACTTTTTTGTGTTTAGGAGGTCATGGGGTCGGTCCTGCGCTCAGGGTCGTATTACCATGGGGGGGGGGGGGGGAGAAAGGGCATGGGGGGATGCGGGGGGGTCATTGGGGACACGGAGGTGCCTGTACGGGTGAGGGCTGTCACGTGACACGTTGTGTCTTAATTCAGAGTACTCCACGCGTGTGAGTGTGAGGCCTTGGGGCGCGAGAGACAAATAGACACAGATTGACCCCGATCAATGACCAATCGCTCTCTTTGATATACGTGTATCACGGTACCTACCACTCACTTACACGCATGTGCATAGCGATTGTATGGCATTTAACATTTGTTTTTATGACACGAACATTGACCTTTGGGGTAGAGTCTAAGAGTGGGTGCAGGGCAAAGATTCAGTCACTTTTCAGGTGTACAGTGAGATAAACTATTTACAGCGCTTCATTAATTCGCTGCCATACTTCACCACCCTGGTGAGCGCGGTTTGCTCTAGGGGTGCCCAATACGCGGTTTTAGATTTCACCCGCCACTGATTTAGCCACGGCTCGGGGCGTCATCGAACTCGGCTTCGCGGGGTTTAGAGCGCGGTGCGTTAACCCTTGCCCCACCGTCACCGCTGCTTCATCCCAACCTTTACAGCGATTGGCGATTGATTGGGTAAAACCAAATTCCGCGTGTTTGCGTAAGCTTCGGTTGCAGTGTCACATGAACGCACGATGCACGCGCAGATTACTGATTTCTTTTGCTGTGAGACTGCCATGGGATGGCAGTTCAGAAATTGAATCTCGAATCTATCTGTGTGGGACTTTGGGTGCATTACCCTCCTGTATGCAAGTGGGGTATTCACCAGGCACTTTGATGATTATTTCCGCATGATGCCAAAATCTAAAGTTAACGGAAATGGCCCAACCATCTAAATGCACCAACACCCTCCTGAAGAATAGCCTTGAGACTCAGAGAGGCATCCTCGCAGCGGAGGCTTTTGGCTGCTTGCCATCGAACAAAGACGGTCACCGCATCGCTGCGCTT